ACTGTTGTGGAAGAGAGAATTGGTCTCTGGAGTTAAAGAGAGTGAGAAGCTGTGTTGATAAAGATCCTAAAACCAGAGGGCAAAGACACTTCAGCAAAATCACAGTGCTCTTTCCCACTAAGTTCAGATGTGGTCTCCGCATTTCTGTCAGTACAGAGTTCCAGGCAGTCAGTAGCAACCAATGAAAATTGCCTCCTGTCCCTGCTACAGACAGTGACAGAAAGGGCTGTTACTCTAGGCCGAGGACGGTTAGACCTGATAGCGGGGCGTCTGTAAGAGATGAAGTCCAGGAGCCCCCCCGGAATTGGAGTCAGTGGCTGGAGTAGAGTCTTGAAGTCTAGAGGTTGTAAGTAATCCCAGAGGACCAGCAGGAGGGAGTGCGGATGAGGGGGAGGGGGAGGGACCAGCAGGTGGTTGGATGGTTCTCAAGGAGCTTTGTGTCTCTGAGGAAGTCTAACCACATCAATACAGTGTTATACTGTAGTATTATAAGTATTCCATCCGCTTTCTGCTTTGGCTTCCTTTCACATTTATTAATCTTGTTATAAGAACTTGTATTTCCTTTAAATTTTCCTAGATATTTTTGATTTGGAATATTGGCATCACATGGGCTTTTGAGTTCTTTGAAAGTACTGAAATATTGCTTTTTGTCTTCCATTCGAACTATTGCCTGATCTTTGGAATCCTATTCTCGTGAGTTCATTTCTTGTGCTGACTCAGGCAGTTCAGATTTTCTCGGTAAACTAGATTACCTAAATATTTCATTTATTGTGATCTGGGACATGATGTTTTGTAAAAAGGCAGAGCTGCATGAAGTAACCAACACGAAAGTACATATGGCTCATCATTATATATATGCTAATATATGTGAACATACGTAATTATTTTATCTATGCATATTTATAGAAAATGTCTAAATTGTTCATACCAAACAGTACACAGTCTGGGCAAGAGGATTGTGGGTGTCATGGTATGGTAGCAGAAACTTTTTTTTTGCTCTTTACATTTCTTACTGATTTTTAGGATAATTTTATTATAAGATGTAATAAATATTTGATGAATGTGAAATAGTATTTGAAATATAAGACAAAATGATATGACTCATCACAGAGATATAGATATACAGCTGTGGGGGTTGTTCAGAGGAGAATGGTTGTTTTCAACTAGAGGGGTTGAAGAGAGGCTTCAGGACCAGGTGAGATTTTATACTAACCCTCAAGTAGGATGGGAATGTGAACAAACAGAGATGCAGCGAAATCTAGGCAGGTGGACCTGTTATAGGGATCTGTTATAGGTTCCAAAAAACTTAAAAGACATATCAACCGAATCAACATGTGGACCTAACTTGAACAAATAATCTGTATTAAAGAAATGTTGGAGAAAACCTGGGAAAATTAGACACAAACTGGGTATTAGATAAGGAATTACTAATTTTGTTGGGTATGAAAATAATACCATGTATATATTTTTAAGTTCTTTTCTGTTAGAGATATACCCTAAAGTATTTACAGGTGAAATGATAAAATGTCTGTGATTTGTTTTCAAGTATTCCAGCAAAAACAAAACAAAACAGAAAGCAAGAGTTGGAGAGGGGTGGGGGAGATTAAACAAGAAAGGCAGAAACTTGATGATTTTTGAAGCTAAGCAGAGTACCAAGTGTTCATTTTACTCTTCTGTGTGCCTTTCAGTGTTTGGAATTTTTCATAATGAAATGTTTAAGGCCAAGCTAAGCAGTATGAGCTTTACTGTGTGGCACCCTGACACCTGTGAAGGGTTTGGGCCTGAGGAGAGGCATGGGAAGGGCTATGAGAAACACAGAAAGCTCAGCCTGGTGACAGTGCTTGAAATGGCCAGGACGGAGGAGGGCTAGACCTTAATGACAGTGGTGGCCATGAGGATGAAAATTTTGAGAACAGATAGAGGAAATAATGGCAAAAGAGGAACTCTTTGGTGGGTTGGCAGTACAGAAATGAGTCGGGTGCATGACAGGGAAAATTTTCTTCTTCCTCTTCAGCCAGTACTATTATTGTCCTGAAACCACTGGGCACTGTAAGGACGAGGAAGAGAAGGAAAAGGGATCTTCTTTGGGGAGGAACTGAACCAAGTCTTCATACTAGCCAAAGTGGAAAGCAGTGGGAAAATGGAGAGTTCTGGGTTTTTTTCTTTTTTGTGAGGAATTTCTGTCTTGTGGTTTCAGTATGAAATTCATAGGTACAGTGATTCATTTTGATCATCCTTCTCTATTTTCATTGGGGAAATGGTGATTATCTTATCAGTGGTCCTATCTGAATTTCTTATTCTGAATCTTGATTATAAGACTGAGATTATATTATTCATTTGTGAAATTGAACACTTTAAAAGAATATGTGGGGTTAATTAAATGAATTGAAATAATATGGTCTGGGAAACAAAAGTTGAACTGTGGTAAATTTATGATGAAAGCTTTGATTTAAATATGTAACTTCTGATTTGTCACTAGTAAAAATATTAAAAATAAATTTCAGATCCAATGGAAAGTAGTAGTTGTTAGAGATTAAAGAGAAATGGTAGTTCTCCAGCCCTCTACAAAGATAATTAATACTTCACACACCAAATATTAATAAGCTATGATATAAACAGGTCTTCCAGAGAGGAATAGGCACTCCAGAAAATAGTATCCTGATCACAATTGCTGTCTTCTTGATTCTTATTTTTCAAGGAATTGCACTCTAAACAGCCCATGAGATTAACACCCTTTCTTTTCTGTCTCAATTTAATATACCATTTAGAGAGGGCTGAAGCTAAAGTCGGGTAACAGAGATAAGAAATTTTGTTTGTTTAGCGGCTGGCTGGTACAAGGATGGAACCCTTGACCTTGGAGTTACAAGGTGGTGCTGTAACCAACTGAGCAAACCAGCCAGCCCAGAAATTTTGCTTGTTGAGTGAGAAAAAAATGTTAGAACACAATGCATTCTTTACCCTTATTCTGCATCAGGAAAGTGAGGGAACTTTGAAGATTCCCTAGCAGGACTTCTCATTCAGTACCCCCAAGCTGGCACCTCCCACCCTAACTTGTATGGTCAGAAAGAAGTGAGGTTTTAGTCAGGTTTGAGGCTGGTTGGGCCCAATTAACGTAAATTCAGGGTAGTTGTAAAAAGCTCTCAGGGAGGTAAGAAGAGGAGAAGAAAATTCCTAAGAGCAAGAGAGGTGGTTTTTGTTTTACTTGGGAACTCATAGCCAAACCGCTGGGTCACAGGAGGGAAGGGGATAGACGGACACATGGTTGTAAGTCTTATTACAGAAAAGGATGAACTGTCATCAGCACTTGATGGAAACAGGACGGGAAGAGGCAGCAGCAGTGTCTCTAACAGCACTGCCTCTCTTATTGCATTATCAGAAAAGATAACCTGAGAATAGGCATCCATTATCTCTTTGTACAAAGGGATTAGTGTGGGTCTCAAGAAATTAATGGCTTTTGAGTTGTGACAGAAATACTAATGAATGTCAGGACCAGAGATGTAAAGCAGGTAAAACTGGCTTTTCTCTGCCTCTTTTCTCTCCTTTTCTCTGTTGGTTTGCTATTTTAAGATCTAGATCTATATTACTCTTTTTTTTTCTTTAGCCAAAAGCAGAAGTCATACCCTGTGGGAGTGTGATTTGTCTTCTTTAGGAAATGACTCAATTAGTTTATGGCTATCTCCAAAGTGTGTCAGCAAAGAGACTGAGAAACATCTCAGAAATTAAAATCTCTACCAGGAAGAGTTCTTCCTCTTGCATAGATGTCATTTTCATGTCTGATAAAGTCTCAGGAAGTATCTCAAGTGGCAGTCCCCTTTTATTAAAGTACTTGTTACTAAACTGGTGTGTATTGCAGCTAATCATTGATTAAAGACGGCATGACCAGATAAACTGGTGAAACAGAGGGAAAAGAAAAGAGGAAAGGAAGGGAATTGTACCTACTGTGTACTAGGCATTGTGCTAGGAGCTTTATTTCTAATTCAACAAGTAGTTATTAAGTACCTGCTATATACCAGGCATTGGACTACATGCTGTGATAAAAGGATGGAGACCTCACCCCTGCTCTCAGTGGAGCTTATTGTCTAGTAGAGAAGACAGAGTTTATTAAAAAACAAACTTTAAAATTAATTTTATTTGTTCAAACATTTAACTGTTTATTTATTTAGCTATTATAATACAGTCTGATAAGGGCCCATGATAGAGGCATAATAATATAGTAGGGATACCTTATACTGACCTGGGGGGGAGGTGCCTATATGTGCAGGTGAGGTGAGGGGAGGGGCTGGGTAGTCAGGACAGACTTCCTTTCTGGAAGAGGGCAAGTGTGCAGTTGCCGGTTGCTGGTTAAAGCAGTGGGAAGGAGCGTTGCAAACCAAGGGAACAGCATAGGCACTCTCAGGCTCAGAGGTGAGAGAAAGCTGCTGACTAAGCAGAGCCCTGGAAAGTCAGCTAGTCGACTCAAGCCTGGGGAACTGGTCACCACACCAAAAGTCCATGACCTGGCCTTGAGGACTGATGGGGGTGTCTGAGAAATGGGAATTTATGCTTTCTCCTTTCTACTTACCCTTCCTGCCTTACCAACCTAGGGAAAGATAAGAGTATTAGCAGAGAGTTAAGTGAAGTGGAGAAGGAACGTTCTCTCATGTATGTGGTACTCTGTAGAATGTAACCTAGAAAACAAGGAATCCTGGCAAAGTGTGATTGGTTCCTAGACCCATTGGGCGTAGCTAGTCACAGTTATTCTTGTATTTTTGTTTTCTGTGCAGACCTCTGGGTGTCTCGGTGTTGCACACCCCCGTACTCTCGCATCTGTAATTCTACCCTAGTACAGTTTTTGAGACCCAAGACTTACCCCAGTTACATCTTGTCAATTAGGTTCCATCTTGGAATTTTACCACTTCTACTTTGTTTAGTTTGAACCAGAAGGATGTCAACCCCTGATCTGTTTGGTTTCTTGTACCTACCTTCTCCTAGCCAATTAATACTTTCTTTTTTCTTTCTAGAACACAAGCAGACATTCCCGAACATTCTGAAGAAGGGCTACCTGGAGATTAGAAAGGACCATGACAGTTACTGGCAAAGCTGTTACGCAGAACTTTCACCCTACAACTTATACTTCTACAGCCTGGACAGTAGTGGGAATCAAAATCTCTGTGCCACATACCAGCTTTCACACTTCCAGAGCATATCTGTTTTGGGCAATCTTGAGGCCAGGATGGTAGATACTATTCTGTATGATAACACCCAGCTACAGCTAAAGGCAGAGTCACCATGGGAAGCTTTGGACTGGGGACAGAAGCTCTGGGAAGTTGTACATGCTGCTGTGCCTGGCTATGTGGGGCAGCAGGATGAGCTGGCCAACTCACCAGGGTTTGGCCATCATGCTGACTGTACACAGAATCGTTGTTTACAGAAGAAAGCCAGTGACCTGCTGCCACCATCCCCTGTCTTGTATAGCCCCAAACAGTACCAAAACATCATCAAGTCAGGGACACTCTACAGGCTAACTGTCCAAAACAATTGGAAAGCATTTACATTTGTGCTGAGCAGGGCCTACCTTTTGGCTTTTCAGCCAGGCAAGCTAGACGAAGATCCCCTGCTGAGCTACAATGTGGACGTGTGTCTGGCTGTCCAGGTGGATAACCTAGACGGCTGCGACTCTTGCTTTCAAGTTATTTTCCCTCAAGATATTCTCCGCCTCCGAGCTGAGACCCAGCAGAGGGCTCAGGAGTGGATGGAGGCTCTGAAAACAGCTGCCAACGTGGCAAGGAGTTCAGAGCAAAACCTGCAAGTCACACTGCGGAACAAACCCAAGGATCAGATGGGTGGGCATGAACTTGGGAAGCATAAACGTCAGTCCGTAACTACCAGCTTCCTGAGCATTCTCACAACTCTGTCTTTGGAACGAGGACTCACTGCTCAGAGTTTCAAATGTGCAGGTATGAAGCAAATTTTCAACCTAAAGCTCATTATAGAACAATCCTGAATCCCACAATTGGAATTCACTTAAAAAACCCCTCAGTACGCCAGTCATAGTTATCTCCTGTTTATAGAAAGCATTTCTCCTCCAAGGAGTTTGCTATGAAAACTTGTGTCAATCCTCATACCATGCTGATAAAGTAAAGAGAAGCAGCTATGTTATACCCCAGTGAATCAAATGACTTGGCTGAAGCCTAACCAGAATAGAATTTAGGCTCCCTGAGTCAGCTGTGATTCCATTCCCTCTGTCTTCTTGAATAAAGGTCACTGTCAATATGGATGTCACAGATTGTCACATAAGAGGCATTCAGGCCCAAAGCTGACTGCTAACACTCCTTGGGCAAGGATTCCATTCCCTCTGTCTTCTTGAATAAAGGTCACTGTCAATATGGATGTCACAGATTGTCTCATAAGAGGCATTCAGGCCCAAAGCTGACTGCTAACACTCCTTGGGCAAGGCAAATGTCCAAAGTCAGTAACTATCACTGATCATGACCTTGTCAAATCCTGTTAAGGTGCAACCTAGAAAGTCGGCCTTGACAGAAAATGTGGAGGTGGCTAAAAGCCAGGTAGATCATGATTCAGCAGATGACCACTGAGTCACGATGGGCCTGGGCCTCATCATGGGGAAGCAGGGGCTTCTGGAACTGCCATGTAAAGGTGACACACAAAGTGGAGTTCAAGACCAATAATCTCATTTCTTAAAACCTTATTACTGTTTCTTTCCTCTATTCCCTATGTTTCCCACCTTCCCCAAAACAGTAAAATAGAAAGAAAAAAGCAAAATAAAGAACTCACTAAACCAGGGCTATATATCTACTATAAACTAATTCACAATGATTTCCCTTTTAGCAAATCCCACAATTTGTGACAATTGAATTACCATGAGGATAGCTTTAATGGGAAGCCTGATTTGGAAGGTTTTAAAGTCTATTAAATTTGAGTTTGTGTTTAAAAATGAACAAGAAACTCACCACCAGGCAAAATCAAATTTTAAATTTTGTCCTTGCTCCTGCATGGAAAAAAGCCAAATAGTGGTGGCACAATGAAAACCCACATTTTGAATTTATGGTGATGGCCTTTTCTATTGAAAAATAACTTACCTAAAGAAGGGATTAAGTAAATTAACCCTGCTTTGCCCCAGGGCCTCAGTGACTATGGAGCAGAAACTTACTGGGTAGATTGGAGAGACCAGAAATCCTGAGCCAGTTAAGAAGCCTTAGCTTAGCAGGTTATGTGTATTTATCTGCAGGTGGGAAAGACCTTGTGTTGTCAGCCAGCTACTTTTGGAAAATGGTTTTGAAATAAGGAGACACTAGTTTTAGCACAATTTTTAAAGAAATTATTGACATTTCAGTGTCTTATTAAACTAGTGCCTATATTATATTTCAAAGTTCAGGCATTCAACAATAATTTACCAAGTGCTTACTCTATAGACATCCTGGAATTATAGTATACTTTTGTGGCTTTAGATGGTTGATAGGGTCAACAAATCTGTTGTGTTAATGGAATAAGGACAACAGCTCAGCTTATTTCTCAAGGTAGAGACCGGAGCAGCTGAATCAAGAAACTTCATACTAAAAGGGGGAAGAAAAAGCCTCAGATGTTACACAAAGGTTGTCACCTAGTTGTTGCCTAATTCACCTTCCTTTCAGAAGCTTTCTTCCTGGTGGAGTGCGCATTGCCCACCTTCTGTACTGTAGCTTTCCTAGCACTCAGGAAGGAGAAATGTAGGTAGAGGGTACCATTCAGCAAGCCCAGTGCATCCAACAGTTGGAGAAATGAAAACAGGAAAAAGACAAAGTAAATGGAAGATGCAGGGAGAAAGAAAGAAAGTAGAAGTAAGAAGAAGGAAAGTGGTACATAATGGGCAAGAATCAGACTTTCTGGCAGCTGCTTCAGGTTCTGTGTGAAAGGATGCCTCCCATTGCTTTCTAAGTTTGGTGCTCACTAAAGTAAGTGGTTGGAGGATTGATTGGGGAAGGGCAGTAGTAGGGAATCCAGGGGATTGGCTTTGCTGGGCTTGGTTTTTATCTTTGGTTTGGAGTTCTAATGAGGCACAGGTAGGTTTCTAATCTGGGCTGGAGAGAGGTCAATCCTATTTTGTACAGTAGTGTGGCAGATACCAAAGCAAAAAAAAAAAATTTCATTTATATGCCCTCTTACATCAGAAAATGCTACTTTCAGTTGCATTGTAATACTTGAGGTTTACCGTGTTGCTTTTCATTCTTTTTAATACCTGTGCGAATATTGGTTTCCTATCCCAGGTAGGAATGCTTCATCTCCTGCAGGGGGCAGAGTCTCAAAAGAAAAAGGCAAAAAACTTGTTAAGCAGACCTCTGAATGTTTTTTAAATAACTTGGGAGGCTGTTTATTATGTCAAAGATTATTATAGCAGATGGAACTTTAAAAATTGATCTATGTTTCTCACAAACACAGTTCATCTAAACCGGCTGCTTCTTCCTTTTGTATCTATGTCCTCTAACTTTGCATCTTCATAAACACACACATTCAGTGAAAAGCTGTTTGCATTGCATGTTTACCTTCCAAAATGCCAAAAAGTCCAATACACTGTTTTTAGTGAGTTTTGGCTTTATGTATTATTTTAAGGAGAAGCTAATTCACAGTATTTCATGGTTTTAGTGTGCCTTTTTAGGCTGTAAGTTTTTTATGTCTACTTAGTCCCTCCCCCTTTTAAATAATATTTTGGATGAATAAACTTTAAAAGTGGAAGATTGTACCAAGTAGCTCTTTATTATGATGTCATTCATTTGCTACTCAGGGGAGCCATGAATGTTGGCTTTTAAATCTAAAATAATACAGTTGGCCTTATTTCACTAAATTCTATCTGTAGGTGATGAGTTTTCTATATCCTTCTTTAAAACTTAAAAGAGCCCCTCTGGAGAAAATGGACTACGACTATCCAAAAATGCCCGAGGTTATGGTTTTGAAAATGTTTATTGATACATAACTATATTTCTTAACATGTGCTTAGACTTTTGATAAATGTGTTTGATTATGTGTCATTGTTCCATGGCTTCCTCTCAACTCTGTGGCTGCCCCGTGTTTAGGAAGCCTCAGCCACAGTGCTCTTCTTCCTGTTTCTGGAACCTACTGTGGTCATGCCTGCCTCCAGGGCCTTTACACTTGCTGGTTCTACTTCCTGAAATTTGAAAATTAAGGCCTTTCATTCATTCTAAATGAGTCAATGCTGCAGGAAAGCAGACATGGGTCCTGCCTTCGTGAAATTTACAGTCTACTAGGGAAGATAGAGTTTAATCAAGTAATCACATCAGTGAATGTCAAATGACAGCTGTGACAAGAACTACAGAAATGACACTCATGTTGGATTAGAGAATTGTCAGAGGTGGTGCCAGGTAGAACTACATGAAACTACAGATCTTCAATCATTTTTGACCTACCAAAAAAAGGCAGTTGATAAGGTTGAACCTAATGTTTGACCTTAAGTCACAGAAATTTCTTGAGCAGAGGAGCACATGATGAGAATGGTGTTTAAGAACAGTTAATTTGATGGTGCTTTAGTACAGCTTTGCCAGAACGACTCATTTTCTGTAACAGAAAATGAGGTACACATCTTTAGTGAAATTACTGGATGGAATTCAAAATTATGTTTAGCAATGAGGAATCTGTAATGTTAAAAGATTAATGTTAAAACAAATGATTGTTCAGCTTATTAAAATATTTATGAAGTATGTACCTGTAAGTGGTTCTAAATTAGGGTATTCTCAGAATGCTGTGTAAATTAGATAATAAAGCAGCAAATCTGTTTTTTTTTTCCTTAGGAATTTGACATGCGTACCTATCTATTTACATTCAATAGATACATGGATTTCTTGCCACTAGCACACACAGATATTTTTCCTGTAATTTCCCAGCAATCAATAAACGTAGCAATTGAGAACTATAATAAAAGGGCCCAGGGACTTGTTCATAGCTGTCACAAGAGATGTATTAGCTCACTTTTGAAAGTGTTCCTTGTGTGACTGTTTTATAATCTGGAGGTGAAATTGGATGGCTTACTGTGGGACAGTGTTTCTGATTCTGAACTGAATTTGAACATGTTAATGGAAGAGACAGCAAGAAAAACTGGGCCTAGGGAATCCCCGGTACCATTTTCATACTGTCAGTTTTTACGGTTTTAGTCCTTTGGCTGCTGTTTAACCTCTTGGGATTGCTGTTGGTAATTACATCCCTCTGGCATTAAGAGCTTTTTGCTTTCCTTTTTTTTTTCTCTCCAGCCCAAGGGAGGGGTAAACGGGGGGGGGGGGGG